AATACAATATTTTCCACAGAAGCTATTTTTCTGTACACAGGATGCATTACAATTCCAAATAATTTTCTTGCACATTTCAAAGTTAATCAATCTCCAGAAAAAATGTATAGAATGTAAACACCATTATCACACTCTTTATGACTGTAATTTCTGTCTTTAAGTATTCATAAATGCTTTTCAAGTTTTTTTTTAAAAAGGCATTAACACGGGTTTCCTGACTAGACCTCCAGTTACTCAGGAGGCTAAGACAAGGTAATCACATATTCAAGGCTAGCCTGGGCTATAAAGTGAGCTCAAGGCAAGCTAAACAAATGCAGTTCAGTACCAGAGTGCATCCCTTTCATGGCCTTGCCCCACCACCCTGTTCTGCCTCTCTCTGTCTCTGTCTCTGCACCCCATGAGGCCATGGGCAGGAAGCACTGGCTGTGAGCTCCAGTCTCACAGGGTTAGGTAGTGATCCATCATACTGGGCATGCATACACATGCTAGACACAACAGTGATAGTCCTCAACAAAAAAAAAATCAGGAAAAACAAATAAGAATAAGGGGAGCTGAAATCCTTCTGAGTTTGTCAACTGGCAGTATTTTATTTGTTTGTTTTTAGTGTTTGGGAGTGTTCTATTCAAGCTCTAGACAACAAAATCATCTCCATCAGAAACCTACACAGCACTTTACAGAGCAATGGCTACAGTTCCCAAACACTGGCAGTAGACAGTATGAAGATAGTGACCTCGTCTAGAAAACCATGTCCTCCAGGGGCCTGAATCAGGGATCCTTTTGGCAAGATGCATCTATTCTCAAGTGCTCTCTTAGCCTTTTTGCCTCCTTGAGAAGAGCCAAAAGTAAAATAGGCACACTCTGGTTGTGCCAGGTAGAGGCCAGAGGACCATACTCTGTGCAACACGAAGCAGAATCACGGCTGAGATTTGACCAGAAGACTATGTGTATTCACACTGGGGAGGCCACGAAGCCTCCCAGAGTGACCCAAAAGAGTCACAGGATGGTGACCAACCTGCTCACTTCTCAGTCTAGCAATCCTAAACTAATAAAGAAACAAGAGGCAAGCAGGGATTTTAATTTTTCTAGAATTTTTTTAAGGAAGAACTGTTTGCAAAAAACTGCACAAGGTCTGGTGGAGAAGGTGTGATTAACCACAAGGCAATTTGACTAATAGAAGAAGAAATGCATTCAGTTAAGAGAAAGGTACATATAAGGTTTATAGGGGTTGCACAGTTACAACCATGCAGGGAATAATCAGGGAGAAGATGAAGATGTCTTGGCCAGAAAGATGATTCAGACAGACAGACAGACAGACAGACAGACAGACAGACGAGCTTAGGAGATGACCCACTTCAGAATGACAATGGTCAAGGGCAAAGAGGTAAACCCAGGCCAGTCCCACTGCTGTGGAGTCACCTGAGTCTTGGGACCTCTTCTCTACACTAACACCATACTGAGAAACCTACATGCCAGCAGCATACCCTAGTCATATGCAGAACACCCTGTGGTGATGTGATCACAGCAATGGCTGCCTGAGCACAGTTTCCAAGGAAGACAGTGAGGTCAGAGTGGACTTCAGAACATCAGTACATCCTGCTTCCACCACCAACAGGGGCATGACTGTGACAGGAGCTGGTATTTCTGAGTGATCACATCTCCGCACCTGGGACCCAGGGACATGGAGTGAGTACCTTTCAGGTAGGCCTTAAGGGTAAACAAATGAAGGACCTGGGACCAGTGAATCCCAAAAGCATTTTGGCTGCAGTTCTGTCTCTCTTGCTGCTAGACCGGTATTAAGTAGCAAACTGTCCCAAGCACATCTGAACCTTTGTTGGAGCAGAGTCAAACCACAAAAGGTCCCATGTTTCCTCAGAATCAGTGGCAGGAATGTTCTCAGTCTGTTCTGTTCTGGCCTGTGTCCATGCACAACAGTACAGTCAAAGCAGATAGATGCACATCAGACAATGCATATTCTGGACTCTGACAACCCCCCATGGGCACAGACTATATCTCCCAGGTCTGTGTACCTTATACTCTACACTTGAAGCATGAATGACTGACACGAGCATAAACCTGTTCAAAAACTTCCTCCCTCCACTCTGCTGAGGTCATTATAGAGCATGGAGTTGACATAGCTCTGTGACGATGGTCCTTGCCAGGGTTCTCTGATTGTGCCGAGGCAGGCTAGTACAGAAGTGACCATCTGCCAGCAGACACATGACTCTGATCACAGTGGAAATATGTTTCCAAGGTTCTATCCCCTCAAGCCTTAGATGGCCAGGATACATGCACCCGCCACAGCTCACAGCAGCAACCAGTTCCTGTGATTGATGAACACACATCAGAAACAAGAGTTCAACATGGATTTCAGGAAAGGAAGGTGTAAGCCAAGATGCTCCCCTGGTCCAGGGTGCATGGTGCAAGCCAGGATGATTCCCTGGCCCAGGGTGCATCAGTGTGTATTCCAAAGTCACAGTACCACCAAGGCAGCTGTCCATCAACAGAAAAATAAAGCTGTACCATAGAAGGGGATTTTATCCCTTGCATGGAGAAATTTAGAAAGGGTCTTGCAAGCATTTTCCCAGATGATGTGTCAAAAACTAATATTTGTGTTAAGTTTCTATGTAGATACACTTTTAGCCTCTCAATAGCACTTTTAAGAAAAAAATGCATAACAGCACAGAGTTCAAACATGTCCAAGCGCAGAATTCAAAAGCCTCTTATAACCTGTATGTGCTGTTCAGAGCAGCAAGGGGACCACAGATAATTTGGTGCTTAGAGATTTGCCAACTGCCACCAAGCTGAAAAGTTAATTTCTTATTAAGCTTCTGTTCTTAAACAACATGCATTTCAACTTGAGGTCAGTCCCTCTGAAGATTTAGAAGATGCAGAGACGGGCCCATTTTAATGTGACCCTGATTACAATCTGTGGGATCAGTCCACCGTCTCTCTCATCTCTGAACTTTAATCATCCTTCTTTTATATCACCTGGGGCATCTCAACAGTGGAGGAAGATGTCTGTGCAAACCCTGGGCTGCTCGCTGTAGGGATTATCAAAGTCTATTATCTGGCAGGACAGGAGGTCGGTTACAATGAAGGTCCTGGTTAGCAGTGTTACTATAGCTACCATAGGTGTGTGGTCACATTCATGACACATGCTTCAGGCTGAGAAGAGGTTCCTGAAGACACGAACCTTGTCACACAAAAGCTTTCAGTCCACAAAGGAAAAAAAGAGAGAGGTAGACATGAAGTGATAACTCAAGGTAACAGAGGTGGAGGAAACCACACCCTCTTCACTGGGAACCCCCACCATCAATGAAGCAATGGAGAGAGAGAGAGAGAGAGAGAGAGAGAGAGAGAGAGAGAGAGAGAGAGAGAGAGAGAGAGAGAGAGAGAGAGAGAGAGAGAGAGTGCGTGCACGCGCACACACACACACCAGAAATCACCAACGAGAAGAGGAAGGATGTATGGATTTGCTGCTAAGTAGCAATTACTACTGCACCACAGAGCCTTGTAAAGGTTCATTTAGCAAGAGACAATGAAGAGGAGGAGGAGAGGAATGGAACAGAGAAGGGGTACAGGGGACTCACCCAGAGGAGACAGATAAGTGGCAGAGCCAAGGACAGGTGAACACAGGAGGACAACACACAGAAAGTGAGAGACAAGGAGATGGCAGCAAGGATGAGAGGGACAGACATGGGGGAGGGGAGGAGAGAGGTGTGGATAGAGAAAGGAGAGAGAAGCACACACACAAACCCAAAAGCAACAAAGAGAATGGAGGTGTGGGGGAGCAGAAGGGAGAGAGGAGGGGGAAAAGCAGAATGAACTCAGTGAACTTGCCAGGCCTGGTCAAAGGGGCCCAAGGGCCTAGGTGATGGGTGTTTAGACAAAGACCAGGCAGGCTGCAAAAACACCAGAAGGCCAGAGGGGCCAGGGAACGAATGCCCATCCTGTCTTCCCCTAGTGACCTGGGGTCACACCTTGTGGCCAGGACATGCTCCTGAGGCACAGTGGCCTCTGATGAGCCTAGGAGGGGATGTATCAGGAACGGGTACCATGAGAAACTGTCAGAGCTTTCGCACTGCCTTTCTCAGAAACAGTTGTGAGTCCCTTCCTAGAAGCTCTGTGACTGGAGAAGGAACTTCTGGGAATGCTGTGTATGGACAGGCCTGTGGGGAGCACTTCTGGGAGGTCCTGCGCCGCCTTTTGTCCAATGCCCACGGTTGTTCTGTCACACAGTCCTCCTCACACACAGGAAATATTGCTCTCCTTTTAGGAAAGTCTGTCTTCTCCAGGTTGATGCTTCCAAGGGGCCCTTTCCAACTCCAAGACAGAGCGATCAGTATGATAAAAAAAATAACAAACGTTGAAAATAACGTTTCTCAGTTTGAGGTTCCCTCTTCCTAGATGACTATAGCATGTGTCAAGTTGATTTACCTGCCCATCCTTGGAACTTGGAGTTATACAGAGAAAGTTTTTAAAGTGAAGACGAAGTTATGATGTGCAGGTATCCAAATTCCTATAGCACCACAGATCACAGTGGCATGATGAAGAAACAAGGAAAATGTCTAAAGGACACCAGTGATCACAGAATGACTGAGCCAAGGAAATGACCCATCTAAATCAACAGTTCTCAGTTAGGAGAACTACCCTCTATAAAATGAAAAGCAGGAATTCTAGAATTCAGAGGTCAGCCCCATAACAAACAATTAAACAACCAAAAATGTCAACAGAGTAGGTGAAGAGCCCTATAACTCAGCCTATATTGGATGCCCCTCAAACCAAACTACCGAACAAAACCAAGCAAAAATAAGCAATGAAAAGATCCGTACCAGCAGACCACATGGGTACAAGTTAAGATACAAAAGTGATCTTGCAGCCTGACTGGGCTGATCCAGCAGTGAGACTGTAGGTAACAGAGGCCTGCCGGATCCCCATAGCGAGGGTGGACAGAGGCAGATGGCAAGGCTAGCACCTGCATGCTGGTGGGGAGCACTTACAGGGCCTCGGAGGTCGATCAGCTCCTGCCTCATCTGGGACACCAGGGCTTCCTTGGCCACCAGAGCCCGGTGAAGACGCTCGTTGAACTCAATCAGCTCTCCATGCATCTCGGCCACCTGAAACAGACAAGTGGGATACTGTCAGGCTCAGTAGCAGTCCTTGTCCATGCTGAGCCTTGCTTCTCTGCAGCCTCCTTCCTGCCAGGCTTTAGCAAGATACCAGCTGGAGACCAGCATGATGCACCCAGCAGCATGCAACCCTCCACGAGTTCGGTGAGTCTTAACAGTTCATGATCAGAAGATGACAGTGTTGAACCATTTCCAAAACTTAACACTTTTTTTTTTAACCAACGGTTGGTTTGTTTTGTAGTCTGAGTTAGGATTCTTAAGAAAGTTCCAACAAAAAAGGGGGGGGGGGGGGGGAAAGTTCCTGCTGGAACTGGAGGTGTAGCTCAGTGGTAGAGTGACTGACTCCCTATCATCCATGAAACCCTAGGTTCCATACTTAGCAGTACGAAAATAAATTCATTATTAATTATGATGATGTCCCACCACCACTGGGAATAAATGACTTTCTACTCAGTGAGTCCTTGGTTTCAAGTGACACACACCTCAGCCACACCACTGCTTCAGTCACCGTTAACTCTGTATCAGAATAAATCTTTCCCAAGCTCTCTGTGAGCTTCATGGCAAAAGCTCTGAGACATGGGTATATTGAGTCCACCTTCCAGAAAGAAGTTGCAGCACTCAGGAGCTTCAAGGACTTGTTCTAGGCTATGAATGTTATGGGAATTCAGTCTGATAGCCAATGGTACGGGACAGCTTTGCCCAATGGGCATGGTCTTCTCTGGAGATGCATGACCCAGGGGGAAGGGTCACAAGCTCTCTTGGACAGTGTAGGAGTTACCAGAGTCATGGCCTGGAGCTTCCCCATCACCCTTTGGGAAGGAGGTTACAGTGCCAGCAGCAGAGACCTAGTTCCCAGCGGGAATGGCGGAGCAGGTGATGACACAACTCGGATTCCTCCTTCTGTCTTGTAATCATTGTGAATAGATTTTTGTTTGTTTGTTTGGTTTTGTTTTTGTTTTTTCGAGACAGGGTTTCTCTGTATTGTTTTGGAGGCTGTCCTGGAACTTGCTCTGTAGACCAGGCTGGCCTCAAACTTACAGAGATTCGCCTGCCTCTGACTCCCAAGTGCTGGGATTAAAGGCGTGCGCCACCAACGCCCGGCTCTGTGAATAGATTTTGATATTAATAAATGGTAACACAATCCCCAGACTTCCCTCTTTATGTGAAGGTAACAGAGGGCAGATCAGAGCCCGGACTGGGTGCTAGGACCCTGTAACTACACCAGCCCCTCACGCAGCTGGCCAAAATGCTGTCCCTGAACCCTACAGGAAGGCCTGCAGCCTCACTCAGCCTGGCCACTGCCTCCTAACAGAACCTTCCCACACCCTGGAATCACAGCATTTACTACATGCTAGGATACACACAATAACACCAGGATATTTGTCCCAAGTATTTAATATGGAATATAAAAGATACTGCCAGAGTGCCAGGGGCAAAGACAGACGCTCTGTCAGGGATGGGAGGACAGTAACCTGAGTTTCACCTCAAGAACAAAAAGGAGCCCCTTCTATATCACAAAGGAAAATATACAGAAGGAAACACACCAGTGTTTTGAAATCTACGGAGAGTTTCTTCCCATTCTTTCTGCTTTCTTCATATAAGCTTCTGAGTAATGAGCATCTTCCACTCATCAGAAAGGAAGGCATTCTTTAACTAGGCTCTTTAAGGATTTGAAATGCCAAGAAACTCGGGACCACACAGTCAGTGAGCATTCCCAGGCTTTATCTTTCTTCTTCCTTAGTGATCCATGATGGAGTTAATTTTAAGTATGTATGTCTGTGTATCTATTGACTCTTTGACAGAACACATTCTGTTCAGCTGATGCTTCCATCTGCTTGCTCCGTGGATCCCTTTTTTATGGTGTCCTATGTCCCCAATGTGTCAACCTCACCAAGGATATGAAGCACTACCTACAAATGGCACCAAAGGTGCCTTAAGAACAAATCTGTTAAGGAAGTGGGGCTGGGCAAGTCATTGAGTCTTTTAGCACCTCTTTGCTTTCAGGAGCCAAAGATCAATTTTCCCCACTTAACTTATTCTTCACAAAAACTTGTGCTGATCTCAAATTCAACAAACACATACAGCATCACCAATAACACATGGAGATCTTCCACATGGAAGTCATGTGACCTTCCAGACTATCCTTGAGACAAGCAAGAAGTTCACAGCTGCTGCTTTGCTGCTGATGGACCTGCTAATGTGCTCCCACAAAATGCAGGCTTCAAACAAGTGCCACTGTCTTTTCCTCATGTGGAACAGAGTTCTGTGGGTTTTGTTGGGTGTAGATGTAGGAGTCAGAGTACCACAGCTATTTTCCATAAATGCTTATAGCATCAAACCACCCAAGGCTCCAGGGTGTTCACAGAACTGTCAAAATCCTGGTTCCCTTTTGCAATCACAACTGTGATGGACTATCTGACAAAACTTGTCAACAGAACCACAGAGACAACACTTGACTGGGATAATTTCACCATGAGACTCTGGTGCTCACCACACTAAAAGCAGGCCATAAAGTCACCATCTCCTAGAATCGTGGCTGGGGGACAACACCTTATTTACTGCAGACCAATAGAACTACAAGACTGGGCTTAAGAGAACAGATGCCCTCCAACCTATGACCCTCAAGCTGACAAGGTGTCCTTCTCATAGTCACATCATATAGTCTCACCGCTGCTTGATACCCTCAAGGTCCAGCCCCAGGATAAAATCCACACACTCTCTCCCTCACTCCATCTCTCACTCTTGATCCTTGGTAACATCACTGGGCCTGACAGTCTTCTCTGCCCCACAGCCATGCTGAGCTGTAGGAAGTCATCCTACAGAGAGAGAGAGACAGGCCTATGCACCTGAGGCCAGTCATCACAAAACAACAGAGATGCAGACTGTCACCTAACTGGGCCACAGTTCAGATGTGTGGCGATGCCAAGTCACAGAATGGCAGCAGGTTTGAGGCAGGGTAAATGTCCAGTAAGTGAGACCCTGCTGCATGACAGGTCAAGAGACATAGAGGAGGGGTCAGAGATGAAGGCTTGGGGAAGTCAGATAGGAAAATGCCACAGAAGGATCCAGAACAGCACTCTGGAGGCTCACTATTCCTCAAAGCAAGACTGGCATGATGGTCAGTGCTGAGGTAGGATGGCAGGAGGGACACATAATTGTCTCCTTTGATGTTTGGCCAGATAAATCAAGACAAGAGCTTCCTGTAAGGTGTTGCTTTCAGAACTTCAGTAAGCTGAATGTTTCCTTCAAGGTGAGCATGGAGGACAATGATCTTCAAATACAATGGGGCTACAAGGGAGCTTTTAAATCTGTTAGGATCCAAGAGTTACCAGGATTGCCTACCAAATCACAAAGGATTATAAATGCAAAAAAAAAGCCTCTGGCATTTCCTTTCATACTAGAATGTTCTCTATCTCATCACATTCAAGTAAATCATGCCTTGCCCTCCTCCTTTAGGTAACAAAAGAGGTTTCTTGGTTAAGAATAAGACAAGCCCTAAATATCAGAAGCTCTTCTACTGAAAACCAAAACATGTGCTCAGATGCCTTGGGATCTGTCTATGAGGTAGATCTGTCACCTGCCATCTGTGAGCCTGTCTGCAGTGATTGTTGGGAGAACTCTTGAGTTCACCATGAAGAGTGCATGGCACCTGCCTAGTTAAAAACCCAGCCAATGCCAGCCACCGTATAATATCCACATGTGTAGTCTCTTAGAGGCTTTAGGAATCCAGTGCCCTTTCCTACAAGGTGGGGAAGGTGATAGGCCTATATCAGGGTCGGGTGACGCAGAGCAGAGACTTGAATCTACATCTTGGTGGCCTTAGCAGTGATCTGTGCCCAAATATTTGAAGTGAAGTAGGAAGCTAACCCCTTTTGTGGTAAGGAAGCCAGGTTTTTCTTGCATGGTTAAGACTATTAATCCATGACCCAGCTGATCATAGTTACCTGGTAGGTTCCATTCTGAGAAATGTAGATTTATGACCCCCTGAAATCCCAATTGAAATGGGGGGACCTAGCATGAGCTATACAGAAGCCCCTGAGACACAGGTGTCAATAATTGTCACTATCCTGTCTGAACTGCAGCCACCAGGTCCCCAGTGTTGACCCTAATGAGTCATGATGCAGCCATACAGGGAATCCACAAGCCTTCTGAAAAAGTGACAAGCAGCCTCTCTTGTCAGCCCAAAGGACACCAGTTCTGGCTAGTTAGCAAAGTCCAAGGATCCAGAAACAATATTAAAACAGCATTTAATGCTGACACCTTCCTCGTGGTTTCTGAAAAAAGATCAAGAGAAAGACAGCAAAAACAGCCAGGAGCTACAGCCCTGTGCTGAGTTCAGGGCCATTGCCTCAAGAGACCTCCATACAGTCACATGGGTCTACAGTAGGCACAGGACCAGCAGTTTCCAGACTGCTGGATAACCTACAGCACAGGAGATTCCAATTACACAGCCTCAACATAGAGTCACCTACCCTTCCTTAGTTGTGACCTTGGGCAGCTTGCTTTCTCCTCATTGGGGTCAGTTTCTGTGTAAAATAGGGTAAATAACAACACAAACTTGAGGAGGCCCAAAAGGAGTCAATCAGTTAATGTTCCAGAAAGACACTAGGGGTGGGGATGAGAAGGGGGGGGTGTATTTTATAACTGCTGGCTGTTGCTATTGCTGTCATCAAACAGATGTCCAGTAGTGCTAGCCAGCAGTACCCTGGTTCTGTAGGAACAATGCCCTCAATCTTTCTTAGATCTACTCCTCTCCTCCACCCATTGCCAGACCATGTTTCAACCTGAACAAGCACCATAGCACCCCCTGACCCCTAAACCCCAAATGATGCATGGTGCTTAAACAGACCCTGAAGTTTGCTCAACAGGCATTTGTGGAGTCTTTAGACTTTAATCTTTAGAATGAGCTAAATGCCATGAATGGGCCTGTCAGTTGCTGAGTGGATGAACCAGTTAAAGGACAGCATGGTGCTGGACCTGGCTGAGAC